CTCTTGTATTGAGAGTTTTACATTCCTCATTTTGATAAATTCCAGAATTTGAAATAAGAGCTTCTTACTTCTTATCTGGGGACCTTAAAATAAGAGTTTTCTTCTTAATTTAAGAAATCAAACTTTTAGAGTGTTACACATTTAGGCTCGATATATAACACACACAAAATGTTTTATTGTCTTAAATATCCTTAACCGACTTACACCATTTCAAAATGTTAAAGAATTATACGTTTCCAATTCAATATCATTCAAGGTATTAAAGCTTAATTWAAAATGTAAGAAGCACAAAATTCATCTTGAATTTGATAGAAGTAAACACTAAATAGAGATTTATCTCGTCACTCTTGACTACTATCGTAGTCAAGTTACAGTTACAGTTTACCGTGAAGTGATATCGTATCACTTCACTGATATGGTTTTTATTCACGGCTTTATTTCACGGATATCGAGCTTAAATGTGTAATAAACTATATAATTGGAAAGCAATTGTTAAATAAACATACCTTTTGGACCAGTTTGTAATATTTTCCCTAATTATCTAACTCGCTCACCACCAACGTTCCACATAACTTCGACTTCCTCAGAGGCATTAAAAGTCCCCCTCAAAACACATTGGGTCCGTTGGAATCACAGCAACACTTTTGTCAGACGAAAAATATACACAAGCATGCGATTGTACGGACATGGTTGAAAGTATTTCACTAAATAAAGAGATAACTCAGAACTGTTGCGGAGACTGAAGTTACACTACTGGCTGAGAACCTGTGAAAAACCTGTGAAAACACATGTATCATCAAAATGACCTGTGAAAAAGCCTGTGAATTTTACACGGCCAATTTCATGTCGATTTTTGGAAAAATCTTAATTTTTGAAACCTGTGAACATTTTAAACCTGTGTGGGAAAAACCTGTGAATTTTATTTTCTGTGAAGAAACCTGTGAAAAACCTGTGAATTTGGGTATGATAAAATCTCATTGAAACAGAAACCTGTGAAAAACCTGTGAATTTCAGCAAGATAAAAACTCGTTGAAACAGAAACCTGTGAAAAACCTGTGAATTTTGGATGATAAAAACTCGTTGAAACAGAAACCTGTGAAAAATCTGTGAAAACAGCTGGAATGCCTTTATGTAATTCTAATTTTCCTCAACATATTTTGAAGGCATATGATCATACTTATGACACTAATCAACAGCTACAGTAAATTTAACTTGACATTATAAAAGTTTCTTTTATAACCATTCCTAAAAAGATCTCACATAGGATGCACAATCCTGCTTACAATCCTACTTAAGGATAACAGTAGCATTTTCCACAGAGTGGCTCTTCATCCACTGAATTGCAATTGCAATTTAAAATTTGATTTTTGCTGAGGGGGGAAAACCAGTAAAACCAGAAAAACCTACAAATAACCAACAAGCAACTCYACTCACAAAACAACACCACAAGCCCTGCRGAACTCTAACCCAGGTTGCATTGGTGAGAGGTGAGCACTCTCACTGCTAAGCCACCTATGCTTCCCTAGTTAGGAATAGGATCCCAAAAATATCATATGATTCTATGCTGGAAACTATTATTTACTGAGTTCCTGCATATTGCTTACCTACATGCATGTTGTTATTAGAAACACCTTTTAATTTAGTTAATTTATTGAATGTAAACATATAAAACAGCAGTGCCCTAATAATGTGGCCTGGATCAGCCCAGATATTTGGATATTGGTATTGAAAATACAGTAAGGAGTATCAGTAATTGCTGTATGGAAAGAGGATAAAGACTTTGTTGTCTCTATTCAATGTTAATATTTCATGATGGACTGAATTGAACATCAAATGGAATAAATAATTTAAATGCAATTTTGACTTTTTAAAACTTACAGGGGTAATAACACTCTGCAAATATGGGGTGGGTTGCTTCAATTCCAACAATACCGCTTATATATCCCAATAATTTCCGGGTTTGCAATTGATCACAACTACAAGCTAAAACATTTATTAGCAATAATGAKAATACATTTTTATAAAATTGAWWAAATTAACTGAAGAATGCATTTGATTTCTCAGATGGTGCTGTCTGCCWGAAACTTATTCTCCTGTTCCTGAAATCCTCCAAGTGAAATCTAATGCTCAAACATTTTGTATTTGTTTTATTATTATTTTTAATCATAATGTGCTTAGCTGATGTCTTTCTGCTTCAGTGTCAAAAAAAAACTTTTAAAAGAAAAACTTTTAAAACTTTTACTAGTAAGTTTTATTTGGATAAAGCGTTGATAATTTTTTGAATTTTAGAAAATGGACATTACACATTGAAAGCTTAGCTATAAAATTAAATTAATACCTTATTYTGGCTGACTTTTTGATTTTTCCCCTTCTTTTACAAGAAAAAAAACAACCACAGCCCTCACCGCATTTTGAATATGCTGGCTCGCTTTATTAGTCAGCGGACGTTTTCTTGGTCACATGACGAAAACAYGATCATTGATTGGCTGTTGGCATTAGAAAGGCATAGATTGGCATTTTTGCAAAGAAACCTTCCTTGGTTGATTTGTAATGAAGAAAAAACTATTTGTTAGAAGATAAAATAGCCTTCAAAGTTTTTAAAACAAAAGATCTTAATTTTTTGAGATGAAAGCAAATATGTTTACTCAAAATAATGCCTCTGCTGAAGTAAAAACGAAGACATCAAATGAAAAAACCCTGAGTATTTTGCCAAGAATTAAAAATGAAGGTTCAAGTTGTATTCAAGCAAGCAGTATTATTTAGTGGAGGTAGGTTTTTTGAATTTAAAAGCTATTTAAATATTGAGTTCTATAGATATATGCTGTTATGTTTCTGCAAGTTGTTAAAAATGCAGCATTTGAATCTGAACTATAGCATTTTTCTCTTTTTACAGCCTCAAAAAGCTGATGAAATCACCACAAGACTTGAAAACTACAGACTGTGCTTCCCCTTTTTGCTGGTTAGCTCTGGTTTAGCTTATAAAAGAGCTGGATCTTAGATAGTGATGACTACTTATGAGCTCTGGTCTATATGGCTCTTGCCAACTGGTCAGTAAAATTAATTCTTATGCGAAAAAAGAGGATAAGCCTATCTAGTTATAGGTAAATAACCATTTCTAGAATGCGTGTATTGTTTTCAGGATAGGTTTTGAAGGATTTCAAAAGAAATTTATAAAAAGAATGACAATAAAAAATGTTGAAAAGTTGAACTTCATTTTTTTAGATCATGGTCAATGTC